AATTCACGGCGACGCGTGTCGCCGCCGAAAGCGTGGGTTCATGGATTTTTGAGCGAGCTGTTTTTTTTTTCGCGCGAAAAATTCATACACGTACCTGGCACGTCGGCTAATCGCGAGCTATTTTTAGAGAAAGCCGTATTTCGCGATATCACACGCATGTCGTATTCGCATGTTATTTACATTTATTTACATTACATGTGTTTGACAAACTCAACGAATATGCGAAGGGTTTTTATCGTCATTTTACCTTGATGATTTTGGATTGGAACGAACCGTGAAAGCGCGCGCATGCGTTGCGCAAAGAGAATTGGTCTAGTTCCGGTGTTGCGTTCAAGTTATATTTAGAAAAGGTACGTTGTATTTATACTTCGAGAATTCGTAAATTAAATATAATTATAATCTTATTTAGAAATCATCATTATTCAAAATTTTGAGATATAATTATTTATATTTTGTATAATCCTATACATAACAATATAATATATCTATTAATTAAATTAATTATTTAGAAATCCGTTAACTTAACTGCCATAAAATCATTATTCTTCAAGAATTAACAGTTGTCTCAATTCGTAATATAAATGTACGCGTTTAAATTTTTTTAAACATTACTATTTAGCTGCAGTTCATATCTGGTACTAAATCTGATATAAAATATCTGGATTCAATATGATAATGAATGTAGTGGTTTTATCTACCGCGTATTACGGCGTTGATTAATTCATACCTTCTCTCGCTCATATTCGTATCTCTTGTCTTGTTGCTTTTAGCAATTCAATGTCATTCATATTGATTTTTGCGTTCTCGCAATTAAAAATTTACAATGTTTCTTTTACGCTGGTGGGTACTAGAAAATGGGGCGTGAAGTTAACGTAAGAAAAAAATTGAGACGTTTGTTATTTTTAGAATTGTTTGTTATTTTTAGAATATGCTTTTTTCCTTAAAGGAGACTTTTACTCTTCATTTGATATAATCGCGGTTCGTATTAATCTCTTATTATAAGAAGTCAAAGGGTCGTGATGGGAATTTCTACGAAAGTTTAGTTAAGGAAAAGGTTTCAAATTTTTGATGAGGGATCCGTGATCGGAGAGAGCCGTGTACTAGTTCTGAAACAGTTCGTATTACATTGCGTTACGAGGAAATCCACTGAGTACCATCTCAGATTGTTAGTTGAAAAGTAATTGAGGTTCGTAGGCGAAGGCGTCGTGGCAGCGGCGTCTTTTAACGAATCCGCGATATTTCCTTCGTATCACGTCCTTGGAAACAAGGTTCGCAATCTCGTGTCCGAGCGGGAAATTACGATTGTACGTGATCGCCCCGTTGTCCTTCGTGCACTTCTTCGAGCATCGCCGGTGATGCGAGTGCGCGCGTGCTTGTTGCATGAAATGCTACGATGCGCGTGATAAAAACGTTTAATCGAAGATAAATAGCGATAATGAGGGAACGCATGTGAAATCCTATGAAAAAGAGAAATACGGGGATAACCCTTCGTGATACGATTCGTGATCGCGTGCTTTACGTAATTCTCATTGTCGAAGCGTCGTATTTTGCTGTGATTGATTTTAACATATTTTGCTGTGATTGATTTTAACATATTTTGCTGTGATTGATTTTAATATGACTTAAACATTTTTTAAGTTTAACAATTTCATGAAATCCAGATCGTTTTAACATTTTCAAAATGTCGACTTCATGTCAAATTCCATAAAATGCTCAACGTTAAAGCTGTTTGGTGGTTTGTTAATATTTTGTAGATATCGTATTATCATCGAGTTATCCACTACTGTCATCTCTCTCTCTCTCTCTCTCTCTCTCTCTCTCCTCTCCTCTCGTTGAATTTGAGCAGAACTTTAACGTCCTTCATCACAGGCGGCAGTCCCTGCGATTGTCGGTATTGCGAGCATTATCGTTCTCGTTATCATTATCATCACCGGTGGTACAGCTTTAGGATGTTGTTGCTGGTACTGCTGCTGCATCGGCGAGCATCATCGCTCTGACAGTAATCTAACGGGAGATCCTCGCGTTCTCAACGCCGTCACTCGTTCCGTGCTCGTATCTCGACGAGCCAGGTTATCACGAGAAACGCTCCAGATGTTGCACAGTATTGTGCAAAAGAACTTTCCACCGGGCGCAATATCTTTAGCGCAATATGCGACGGTGTTACCGGCTCTAATAAGTATTATATAATGCTTCATTTAAAATCGAGCGATGTATCAAATTCATCAGTGAGCTTTACGAAAATCTGACGTTTTGTTTTAATCCGCTTTAGAATTTAGAATCATTAGAACGAGAATTTGAAGTGTATTTGAAGTGAATTTAAAATGCTCATTAATAATTATAATATTTATGTAACGAAAAATTTAGACCATAAGATTATATTTGTCTTTCTATTATTTTATATAAAGATAATTTTTAAATAAAATAAATGAGATAAATTTTATTTTAATGCAAAGTAAATTTTTATTTATTTTAAAAATGTTATTTATCTT